GAAAATGCTATAATTCTACCTGTCTACATGTTTCTGACAAGTTTATGACCCTCAGCTTATTAACATTTACAACAGGTGTTATAAAGTTGTGATTACAGATAATCCGCTTATCGCCATTGGATGGGTCACTAATCCGGTTAATTATTTTCCCCAGTAAAGTTAGTCAGTCTGCATTTTAATTTCAATATTTCTCAAGGCCAACGACCACAATTTGCAGTTCGTTTGTCGTAGTTTCGTCATTTGAACAAAATTGTTTTCCCCCCGGACAGTTCGCTTTTTAATTTCAATCTTTCTAAAACGATCATAATTTGCAGTTCGTTTGTCGTAGTTTCGTCAAATGATCGTATTTTCGTCATTTTTGATATAAAACGTTCAATTTTGATTAAAAAGATAGAACTTTATTCAAAACATTCAGAAATGTTCTCACGTTAAAAACTTCCATCATCATTAACGAGTCAAACAGGTGCTTCTTTTACGATATACTGTGCATGCATGAAAGTATTCCTATAGACACTAAAACGTAAAATACGAAATAAATTTAGTGCCAAAATAAATGAGAGAGACAAATCTATTTCTTACTAAGCAAATTGAAATAAAAAAAAATTATAATTTCCTGCCTTTTTTTAAACACGAACCAATCCGTAGATGAATCCGGATTCATTCTGAATTTATTATCTACTTGTCACTTCCCGTTTACATTTCATTTGAAAATCGAAAGTAAACGTGATCAATTCTCGATTAATTTACAATTTACAGTTATTGGAATCGTTCCATGTGAATTTGTACAAATCCTTGGTTCCAACTTTATAGAAATTAATTCAAAATATCAGTTTAAATGTTTTATAAAGATAATGATTATGCAGTGTAATACACCTTATTCATGTTATTGCTATTTGGAATTCTGTCCCGGCTGACCTGAGAATCTGTCCCGCTTGAATCGTTGAAGTCATACAACAATCACTTTTCCATTGTTGCATCAGATATTTTGTATTATGATGTCAAAATTTTAAGGGAACCCTATGTGATGTCCAGTAATGGCGGACAAATAGCAATAAGGTGTATAGTCTTACAAAGTTCAACACGTTCATTTATACTGTGATTCCTGGTTTTAAAAAAAGGAACCCAACTTTTGTTGATCAGGAATGTCCCTTGAAACAAATTGAAGTATAATTTTGAACTAGATTTTCAGATCTTATATCCTAATCTTCATATTTTAGTGACACATCAGTCAAATCATGCAGTTACTGCCTAGTAAATTGATGCCTTACTCCTTTAAAGTCTGACAAAGATGTATAGCAAGTAATATCAATACATCCTTGGTCCCTTGTTGTTACCCAAAATAATGTTGATTTTCATCTGGCGCAAAAGTGACTAAAGCCCTCAAAATCCTAGCTTAAACACTGCTATCATAATAAGTCCCATCATCCACTTTGATAAAAGAGTATGATTTGTGGTTTCCTGCAGAAAAAGTATGGGAAGTTACAAATCCAAACTCAAGAATGGTAAAAGTGACGCCACCGTATTTCGTACTTAATCTGTATTATGTAGTAATAAACATTGTGTATAAGTTTTATAACATTTGGTTGAGGCAAACTAAAGATAGAGAACGGAAACAATATTTGTACTTGATCTTAGTTTTGTGGTAATGAGTATTGTGTATAGGTTTCATAATGTTTGCTTGGAGCAAACTTAAGTTACAGAATGGAAACTATCAATTTATAAAGGGGCATACCTCAATAATGGTTAAAGTGACACTACCCAAATTCAACTTGATCTGTGTTTTATCAGTGGAAGGCAAAATTAAAAATTGCATTGTATAAGGCATTGATTGTAGTTGATTTAACTATAATCATGGACAAAGGAAGATTACTCCAATTTTAAAAATACTTGAATAATGACATTGATCATGTTGATATTTTTGGGAAAAAAATGAAAAATTAGCAATTTTTCCATTTGTAAAGGGCATAACTCTATAACAGTAAAAGAGACGCCCCCAAAATTCAAACTTAATCTGTGTATTGTGGTAATAAGCATTGTGTATAAGTTTCCTAACATTTTGATGAGGCAAACTTAAGTTAGAAAATTCATTCTTGATCTGTGTTTTGTGGTAATAAGCATTGTGTATAAGTTTGATAACATTTGGTTGAGGCAAACTTAAGTTAGAGAACGGAAACCAATTTTGGGACGTATGACGTACGTACGGATGGACAAGGGTAAAACTTAATGCCCCCTCCACTTCGGCGGGGGCATAAAAATTGCGTTGAACATGAGCACTGGTTGTACATGTTTACCCGTAGTTATGATTGTAATGACAGAAAAGACATTCAGAAATCATATTGTTTTCCTAATTATTCCCCAACTAACCAATAAAAAAATAAACATATGGGAGGATACATAAAATTGAGAATGGAAATGGGGAATGTGTCAAAGAGAAAACAACCCGACCACAGAACAGACAACAGCAGAAGGCCACCAACAGGTCTTCAATGCAGCGAGAAATTCCCGCACCCGGAGGCGTCCTTCAGCTGGCCCCTAAACAAATATATATACTAGTTCAGTGATAATGAACGCCATACTAAACTCCAAATTGTACACAAGAAACTAAAATTAAAAATAATACAAGACTAACAAAGGCTAGAGGCTCCTGACTTGGGACAGGCGCAAAAATGCGGCGGGGTTAAACATGTTTATGAGATCTCAACCCTCCCCCTACAGTTTGCATACTACTTATAGGGTAAAGCTAATGACCTATTTTTTCTGCAGATTAAAAATTGTTTTAAAAGTGCATTACCATGATTGCACATGTTACATGGCAAAGGTTAAAGTGTAAATTCTGAACTAGGACCATCTGGATATCAAATACATAGCTATCTCCATTTTTATCAAAAGTGGACAATTGCAAATAACACTACATGTATAAGACTAACACAACAATATATTCATAGGAAACTGAACAGTTCATATTCTTAACCAAAAAAAAATACTTATAAAATTCAGGGCAAAATGACCTAGGACAAACAGGATTTGGGACAAAACAATCCTTGGTCATACAGGAATGGGAGAAAACAACTCAGATTCTGAACATGTAAATTTGTTGGTGTAAGGATAGCAGACCTCCCATGTCAGTCATGGTCTATGCGTTTTCAATTATCTGTCACTCACTATTCATGTTTAGTTAAAAAATAATCAAGAGATATTCTATATATAAAAAAAAAATGAATATATATCTCCATACATGTATTTTCTCTCTTTTAAGGTACATGTGGACCAGGGCTTCCAATATATATTTGAGCCAGCCATACATTTTTTTTATTTGGTCATTAGTTGGGCATCATATAAACAATGATTGACATAAAATCGATATTTAACTTGATATAAATTTGATGTTCTGATGTAAACTGTTAAATTGACAGTGCATTAGTATGCAACATCAGCATACTAATATCTGTCTAAGACTCTTTATTTGTGCAAAATTACACTGACAAAAAATTGACTTTCGTTTTAAAAAAGCACATTTTCCAAATATCGGATGCTGACTTGACATTGGTATAAACACGTACCAGAGATGGATGTAGGGACAAAAGAAAAGTGCACAGCATAATCCAGGTAAGTTTTTAATTTTAAAAACATATAAAATTGCATTTGAATTTTGTTTATCTAGGACATGCTATGTCATAAAACTTTTCCAGATGCACAGGTTTGTATGTACTCACACTAAAATTTGAGGTGGAAAATCAGCCCTTTTAGCCATAGGGCTCACATAAACCTTAAACGATTTTTAGTTCTTGACTTGGGGGTGTGTCCTGGTCTATACTATAGTAATACCCAATGTATTTAATTCATATTTGTCCATTCAATTATCATTTTGTAACGAAATTCGTGTTCACAATTTAAAACTTTTCAAAACTTTCAACAAAGAACTAAGTATTTGTTGAACTGAAGTGAAATAATAACATATTTTGGATACTTTACCTGCCAGAAATTTATGTTGATGACTAGCCGGAAGTGACAGCGGAAAACTGGGTTTATAAGTTAGTGAGATTGTTCTCTCACAAACAAGTTTTAAAATTTGACTAATTTTTAATAAAAAGTCCTGTACAACAACGCATCCAAACGTACCAAATGAAAAACAAATATTTGCATCAAAGAGCTTTTCTAAGCAAAAATACACAAAATTTACATACAATATAGATTGGAGTGCTCATTTTCGCCATAATTTTCCATGTATTCTGCAGTTTATGTTCAGACCTTTAAGTTTTTGAAATATACTGATATTTCTATATGAAGACAATATCAAAAGCAAAATATTCTTAGCTTGAAAACGTGTTTCTCTGAAAAAAATCATCTGAAAAGTTATATTAATGGCTATTTGAAATTTCCTGATGTTTTGTTATAGGGGGACACATATTCGCCGTTTTACACATCTATTTAAAACCAAATAACTGCAGCTTTAAACAATATTCATCAAATCATTTTCATTATAGATGAATAGCAGACATTTCAAATGTGTAAAGAACTGAAATTTAGGGCAATCAGTCAAAGAATTACTAAGAAATACTTCTTTGAAACCTTTCAGTTTTTCACTTCAGGAAATAGGCCGAAAATCGTTGTCCGTTAGTCGGTCCTTTGCGGTAAGTGCCGAAATTTTATCTAAGTTTAAAAAATAATCCTATTTGTTATAAAAATATAATTTACCGGCATATTTCTTCCATTTCAGCAATCCTTTGAAGTTTCTACACCTCAAAATCATAAAACGGCGAAATTGTGTCCCCGGCGAATATGTGCGCCCCGCTCTAATTAACAAGCATATTTATAGGATATTAGTGCATTTTTTAAGTAGGCGTTGTGGCATTCTTGATAAACATCAATTAAGTTTATTGTGATGCGCTATTGTTTTTGGTTTCATTTTGTGTATTTAGTTATATTTTTAAAGGCTCTAAAATGAAATAATCTGGCGTGACTCTAGCAACTACAAAAGCAAATTTGACCCTGACCTTTCACCAAAAGACAACACAGTCCATGCTCTATGCCAAGCTAATCACAACCGTTATATTTTCTAGATAGTTATTACAAAAAAAAAAAAAAAATTGGGAGCATTAAATACAAATACTGATTAAAGTCAACCGATCGATGAATAACAATGGCCGAAAGTGCAACACACTTGACATCTGCTGTATTCACTACAAAACCGTCCATTTTTGAAGTTCTTGCTCAGGACAGTCTAATGAGCACAATAAGACCTGCTCTTAAACATGCCGTCAAGGCAAGGAATAGTATATTGTTATTTGTTGTATTTAATTGATTAATGCTCCGAGTTTGATGAATGGTGTCATCATATTTTGCAATTTTGTAGCAAGAATAAAAGTACTTGACAGACAAACCAAATATCCTACCGTAGTCTATAATCGGTCATAACGTTGGTTCGTTTGGATTTTGTTATTGTACTTATCATACAGGAAAACTCTGCATTGACATCACTACGCTAATACCAGCGTACAAAATTAGTGCAGAATACATTTTTTCTACACTTCTAAATAAAATGATATTTCTAAAGATATGTTTTCATTATTGAAGGGCCTGATGGGGGGGACTCATCATGATTCACGAGTTGATTTTTTTGTCAATCAGGATTCACAGAAAACAAATTTCCATGATCACGTATCATGAAAATATAAAAAAAAAAAAACGAACGATAATCATGCCATATTTTTGTTCAGGAATATAGAGTAGGTTAATAAAAAACAATATACATATATTTTTCATAAAAAAAAAATTTGGTTCAATATAAAGAGATCGATATTCTGACCATAAGTAAATATTCATATAAAATTCCATTGATGTCAAATTTCATGGCTAATAATGAGGTTTCCTATTGAATAAACCCCCAATTTATTGCCAATTATTTAAAAGCAATATCATACAAACAAATAATATAATTGCCTTGTACTAAAAAATCACCTAATTGACAGTAGAGCAATTTGATTGGATATAACGATTCAATGTGTCACATGGTTTTGAAGCCATTAGAATTTGAATGTAAACAAACCGGGTCAGCTGCTTCAGTATGGAACAACATCGTACATTAAGTGACTGAGAAACAATTATGAGTAACCAAACTTGACAAAACACAGTAATAAATAAACAAAACTAAGTCTACAGAAAAATAAAATAAAAAATGGCCTTAAGTGCACGACTTACCACCATTGCGGGATACTTCTTCTTTCTATTCATAAATTTGGATGATCTTTTTTTCTTTTTTCTAAATCTGACTTAATTAAGAATTTTTTTCACTTGAATTCAACAAAAACTTCTGTCCTGTTCATACTGTGTATTAAAGCCAGTATCAGTATCCAACGTATTCATACAGCCTGTCCCAAGTCAGGAGCCTCTAGCCTTTGTTAGTCTTGTATTATTTTTAATTTTAGTTTCTTGTGTACAATTTGGAGTTTAGTATGGCGTTCATTATCACTGAACTAGTATATATATTTGTTTAGGGTCCAGCTGAAGGACATCTCCGGGTGCGGGAATTTCTCGCTGCATTGAAGACCTGTTGGTGACCTTCTGCTGTTGTCTTTTCTATGGTCGGGTTGTTGTCTCTTTGACACATTCCCCATTTCCATTCTCAATTTTAGATACAGATAAAATCCCTTTTGGGATTCTCTGTCCAGAACGATTTTCTGACTTTGACAGCCAAGAAAACTGTTCCAGATACAGAATCTCAAAAGTGATGACTGTTTATAAGCACAAAGATCAGTTTAAAATAAGATTTGATACCTTTTTCATTCTTTAGTAAGAAGTTTGTATAATTAAGCATGCTATGATATTTCTTTGGCTGAAGATGTTAAATTTTTTTAAATTCATAAAACAAAGATATCAGGTTTCTGCACAAGTTACCTTCCACCACACATTTGGAAAACAGAAAACAAGACAATTCTCTCCTCACGAGTTAACAGTCCTATCGTTTAGGTTCCAAGTTCATTTAATGCTAGGTGAAGGTACATTGTTATAACTGATCCTTGACCAGTGAACATAATGACAAAAATCCTGCTCAGCTATTCAAGTTCTTCTTGAAGTGTTTATGTAAAATAGTGTTGTGCCAAAGTCATAAAAAATTTCACTGAATTCAGTTAAAATATTTTTACTTTACAATAAAATAAACATACTTTTCTAGTATTTTGTTAGATTTGATAACTATATTATTTTTTTTTTGTATCTTAATTTTTTCTCTTAGATATCTATGAATAAAAGGATATGTGGGTGTTTATGTCAATGTGACAGCAACTAAACAACCCTATATACATCTAAAGGTAAATAAATGATCTTCAACAGTAGACATGTCTATTCAATATGTTGAGCTCTAATTCACCCTAAGTCTAAAAAAATGTGTATAATATTTACATTGGCCATTAAATACATGTATGTACCATCAACACCAAACTAAAAATCAGTTTTAAAGCTGGTGTTGACATAGTTGATTGCTGTCATTTGGTTTCTGGTGGGTAGTTGTCTTGTTGACAATCATACTTCATCTTTTTTTTGGTGTGGATATATATAATCCAACCTAAAACAATATAAACAACAACTTTTTTGATATCTAAATGGTTGTTTCCTGAAAAGAGTTATTGCCCTTAAATGATATTTTTACCAATTTTTTTGTGTTTTTGCAATTTCCCAGATTGAATTTGCCTCAAAATGTTCAACCCCTGCATGTTGAAATAATCCTGAGGGAGGCAGACATATATACACTTAAGTTAATAAAGCAATCAATCAAATGTTAATCATTACAATATTATTTAACACATTTTTGTATTAATTCCTTATTGTGCCCAGTGGTATTCTTTCCTCTAAAAATATTTCATGTTTAACACTTCTGATATGAAGTTTCTGTCTGTCATGTTTTTATCATGTCTTGACAATATTTCGTAGTGATTCAGGTCCCTCTTCAGAACAAGTTTTCTTTATATTTTCTAATATGAAATTCTGTGTCGTCAAAGGGAAGTAATAATCATTAATGATAAAGTTTTGTACATTATTTACATATTCTCTTTAAGTTTATTCAGATAAAAGATGACAAGACAATAGTCATAGGATAGCCAAAGTTTCATTTTCTTATTATTGATGGATTTTTCAGGTTTTAGCAGAGACAAAGCCAGATAAATTTGCCTGGATGCTGAGATTTTATGATGAAATATACACTATTCTTGATCTAATTCTCCAGAATTATTATTTACATTCATATAGTAAGTAAAATTATTTCTTCTTAATTGGATAAGTGGCACATTACTCCTGACTTCTAATATGTCTAAAAAATAGGAGAAATATATTATTTTCCCTTAATTACACCAATACTTTATTAGATGCTAGTCAGGTCTCTCAACTTAAAAGTCTAGTTAACATATAATATTCCTTTTATTTTCAGTCATGCTGTCTTATTTTCTGAACCGGCTCTGTGGTATTGTGGTGTTTGCCTCAAGTGTGGGAGGTGATGAGTTTGATCCCCAGCCTGGTCAAACCAAAGACTTGAAAATTAATATTTGTTACTTCTTTGCCAAGCATTCTCCATTTTGGTGTAAGAGCAAAGACTAGTTGGCTCATCATCAGAATATTGTGTCCAATTAGGGTGACATGTCTTCCTTGTGAGCTAACACCTTATAAATCTGGCTCAGCGTGTCGGTCTAGTACAAAGCAGGGTTCATATTGATATCACATAAACATGTTTTTGTTTTGAATATGCATTTAATTTGCATTGAACTTGAAACAGCAGCTACCGATCATCATCATCATCTTATTTTCTGGTTTAACTGCTGTATTGAATATTCTGAGAAAATTGAAAGAAGGTATTGATACAATAAAAATTCTGTCAAAATTTCACATTTTATATTAACTCTATTCTTTTCAATGAAAGCTACTTCAAATATATGGTATAGTATCTATCCATCACACTGATAAAACCTGCACTGAGACAAACTTCAGCCATCATGTCCATAAGTCTATAAAGATGAAAGTAAAACTACTTTGAATTAACATAGACCAGAGTAAATCATATTCGTTCCTATTTTCAGTTTATCAGATCTTTTTTCTAAGAAATAATTTACACACAAAAATAACCCAATACTGTGGATTGATAGATTATCATTGGTTATCTCAACAAGATTGATTTTCTCGCTTGAGCCGGTACGGCGAAAGTGAGAAAAGGAATCGAGTTGAGATGTACAATGATAATCTGTTTATCGCTATTTTACCTATGACGACGATGTTAATTTCATTGACAACGGGCACGTGCTCCCTTAGTTTCTAGCGATAATTTTTCATATCACTTGACTCCGCTGAGAAAGGAAATTATCAGTCAGCAAGGTCAAAGGAAAAGTTCGTAAAATAGCGATAATCATTATTATTCCAATTTTTTTGTGGGTACAGGTGAAATAAATGTTAAAACAATTTCTATAAAGCTGTATGCAGACTTTGCAAAACCACGAAATCAAATATCCATGAAAATACAAGTTGTTCTCAATCCATGAAAATTGGTAACCATGAAAATATATAAATCCACAGTACAGTGTACGATTGTGTCTTACAATTCCATTTCAGGTGGATCTTTTGCTGAAAACTTTTATGGTATTAAAAGAATTGCTTGTCAGAAGGATCAAAAACAGGAAGATACAAAACTTCCCAGAAGTTGTCTACTTAAGTCTATATTGTGCTTGGTAAGGTAGTGCTGACAACTTATTATAGGAAATATATCATTTTGTTAACAGTCATTTAAACTTTAGTTATAATAATTTTAAGTGTAGATTAAAGAATTATGTCTCTCGCCTTCATTTAAAATTTTGAAATTAAGCATAAGAAGATGTGAAGTTATATTAAATTGTTTAAAATTTTGATCTTCTTGTCATAAGAAACTTGAAGTAAAGTTCTTCTAGTGTAAGATAAATAAAATAGAAAATATCATATACCCACAAAATTTTCGTCCATTTGAATTAAGATTGCTTTGATATCAGACACTGTTGTGTCCAATATAAATATGTTGCTGTCTTCCAGTTATTGACTTCTTTGTATTTTGCATATGCTTCTAGTATTTACTCTGAAAATGGGAGATAACTCTAATTTAAAAAAGTCAGTTTGTTCTGAATCAAGAATACCAATTAATTACTACAGTTATTACAATGTATTCGCTATTTATTACTGTTTATGTATGTATGTGTGTATTGGAATTTGATGTATACTTTGTTATATACCTATAAGCTGTATTGCTATTGGAAATAAAGTATTATTAATGGTTTGAGATGGAAACAGTGTTAATGATAGATATAAGAAGATGTGGTATGAGTGCCAATGAGACAACTCTCCATCCAAGTCAAAATTTATAAAAGTAAACCATTATAGGTCAAAGTACTGTCTTCAACATGGAGCCTTGGCTCACACCGAACAGCAAGCTATAAAAGGCCCCAAAAAATTACTAGTGTAAAACCATTCAAACGTGAAAACCAACGGTCTAATCTATATAAAAAAGGAGAAACACTTATGAACCACATCAACAAACGACAACTACTGAACATTATATTCCTGACTTAGGACAGGTGCAAACAATTGCAGCGGGTTTAAACTTTTTTAATGGTACCAAACCTTCACCCGTATCTGAAACAATAGTGTAACATCACAACATAGAAAGACACACTATAAAATATCAATTGAAATGGCTTAACTCAATCAAAAGATATTAACACCAGTGAACATACACTGAACAAATAAATTTGATCTATGATACAATGTAAATACAAAATAAATAAACTAAGGGAAGAATAATAAAAGTAACATGTTATACCGCTGTGAAATGTTAAACAATTTAAGAAAACAATATGCTTGAACAAAAGTATCAGCCATTTGCAATTACTATAAACACAGTGACAGGTAAATGAAAATAATTTTGTTGTTAGGTATATGTGTACAGTTCAAATAGAGAAAGGAAATATTTTTACAAAATAAATAATTCTGATGTTCATAGTACGAAGAAGTGAAAATTTATAGTAATACCAAACACTTATCAAAGCTGGTATATAGACCAGAAATAACCCTGAATAACATTAAATAACAAAAAAGCATTACAATTACTTAATAGTATCAACAGGTCAAATAAAGAAGAAAGTACGATTTGAGAGTACTCACAGTTACTGACAGCTAGTTAAAAGCCAAAAACAATAATAAAAAATCATGCATCAGAGACTAAAATCAACTAAAACACATCCCAGGGATTTAGTATTTAAATGTCATGAGCTTTTCTTGCCACACATAGCCCATGTATCTTGCTGTGGCTCTAAACAACTGTCAGTCTACAGTAACTTATTGAATTAATAATTATGATTGATTAATTATGGAAATATGATGGAATATTTGATAATTTGAAAACTACCATATAAGTGGGAGAAATAGGAGGGAATGTTTAATGTCAAATTCAATCAGAAAATTTTTGTTAAACAAAAACATGAATTATAAATGTGTTAACTTGATTTTGTGTCGCTTCAATGTAGTAGAAAAAGTGACACTTAGGCGTGCTTTATCCAGCTTCAGTTGCAGCGTCAATAATATATTAGTTTGTGATTAGGTCAGTTTAAAACTGCTAGATTGGGAGGTCAATGATATTTGGTATGCAGCTTTTAAGAATGGGTACATCTCTTTCCATTTGGTTTATTTGGCAATTAACCCCAATCACGGTCTATTGACTTTGAAACTTTTACTTATTTTACATGTTTATAGTTTGTGATTAGGTTAGATTAAGGGGAACCATTAGTGGTAGGACAATGATATTTGGTATGCAATTGTATAAGAACAGGCACATTTCATATCCATGGAGATGATTTGGCCCCAACCCATCAGTCATGGTCTTTTGACTTTGAAATTTTTGCAGTTGACGTGTTAAAAGTTTGTGATAAGGTCAGTGTAAGATCACCCACTCATGGTAATTCAATGATATTTGATATGCAGTTGAGTTTATAGCACATGCACATTTCATTTCCATGTAGATTATAAAGTCTACCTTAGTTGGTTTACAAAACCTGGCATTTTTTAAACTTCTTTTGATTGAATAAAATTGACTGCTTGAAGAAAATTGATTAAACTTTATGTACTAAGATGAGTAAGGTCTGCATGATTCTTTTTACAATTTTCTGTACTTTGTGAAAAGTATAATATATGATATACAAGTATCAGTATTTTTATGAAAATATTTCAATATTAACTGACTTTCTTTGCAGGTCATTTTACCATATATCAAACATAAGTTGGACTTCATGTTTGAAGAACTGAGACACAAAATAAACACAGGAAGACTGAGTCAGGTATATATATACTATATGTTTAATATTATATAGTTCACAAAACACTTTCGTGCATGAGAATTTTGCTATCCTTTTTTGCGTTGATACAAAAATTTACATTAGCAAAATATAATAAATGGTATAAAATTTAAGCATTCACACTTTAAAAGACAAGTCATAGCTGAAAGACCCTGAAATAACACCTTTATTGTTGGCTTTATTGTGCAACTTTTGAAGTAGTGTGTATCATTATTGTATACTGTATATCAGAAAATTTATTCACAAATTTGTCTAGGCTCAGTCTAATTTAGAGTTGTCCTGAACATGCATGAAATATTTGCCACTGGATGTTAAGCAACCATCAATCAATCTTATTTAGAGTTAGACAATTGGTATAGATCATATGAGGTCCTTCAGATGTCTTTTCTTTCTATTTTAGAATACATTGCTATTTAAATTATACAAAGCATTTGTAGCAGTGTATCCCTATGTCCATATGGTCTGGGAAGGCAGTATTCTGGTACATTTAATATCATACATGTTTGGTAAATCTAAATGGCACTCTCCATTTGTCAGACTTTCTGGTGTAGAATTAGTTCATCAACAAGAGGAAGATTTACAGTCAACACATGTACAAAGTTCAGAAGTGTGGCAAGGTTTAAGGTAAATTATAAGTAGTTTCATGACATATTAGTAAAGTGACAACATAGTCTAGAAATATGACAACAATTAAGGTAAAATATAAGTAGTTTCATACACCAGTGGCAAGAATCAACAAACTTTATTGAATATTGATTAGGCATTTCTGATAACAAGATGAGGTAGAAAAAGATTTGCTAAGAGTAAATGTATTGATCAGCTGACAGATTCAGAAATAGTTCATGTAGGGATAGTTTATTGAAATAATCATATTGAACTTGAAAAGCAAATCAGATCAGCTGACCAATTCTGAAAAAGGTCATGAACAAGGAGATCTAATCATGTACTTTGAAATAAAAACAATGCGGAAAATAAGAAAAATTTAAGGTTATAGTTTCGTAAAATGTTTTTCCTATGAAATTTTGTAGCAGAATGTTTAAGGATTGACAAATAAATAAAAACTGGAAAAAATCCAGTAAAATTTTGTTTTGTCCATATCATTATGGTGTCAAACCAAACTGAAAATAAGACCTCTAAGTTTCATTGTGTTGTCTCATTAATTTTCTCATATTTTTTTTACATGATGGCATTTTGTCTTACAGATTAACTATTTTATTTCAGCTTAAATAATAAATTATTATTGGTATGTAAGAGAGCAGTAAATCTGACAGCAGTAACTCTGTCAACAGGTCTCTCAGTGGGGGTGTTCTTCCTTCAGTTCCTTGACTGGTGGTATACTAGTGATAATAATGCTCCATCATTACTGGCAATGCCTACTCCAGACCCTCCAAAGGTAAGTGTGGTATACTAGTGATAATAATGCTCCATCATTACTGGCAATGCCTACTCCAGACCCTCCAAATGTAAGTGTGGTATACTAGTGATAATAATGCTCCGTCATTACTGGCAATGCCTACTCCAGACCCTCCAAAGGTAAGTGTGGTATACTAGTGATAATAATGCTCCATCATTACTGGCAATGCCTACTCCAGACCCTCCAAAGGTAAGTGTGGTATACTAGTGATAATAATGCTCCATCATTACTGGCAATGTCTACTCCAGACCCTCCAAAGGTAAGTGTGGTATACTAGTGATAATAATGCTCCATCATTACTGGCAATGCCTACTCCAGACCCTCCAAAGGTAAGTGTGGTATACTAGTGATAATAATTCTCCATCATTACTGGCAATGCCTACTCCAGACCCTCCAAAGGTAAGTGTGGTATACTAGTGATAATAATGCTCCATCATTACTGGCAATGCCTACTCCAGACCCTCCAAAGGTATGTGTGGTATACTAGAGATAATAATGCTCCGTAATTACTTGCAATGCCTACTCCAGACCCTCCACAGGTAAGTGTGGTATACTAGTGATAATAATGCTCCTTCATGACTGGCAATGCCTACTCCAGACCTCCCAAAGATAAGCAACTCTTATTTACTGTAAACATTGAAATTAATACAATGTGTTTATAGATGTGGAAAATGGTAAAGGATGAATATCATTGTAAACAAAACTAAGACAGTAAGAAGTATACAAACTCTCTTTGTACCATCAGTGTGGGGATGAGGACATTTTGCATATGATTTGTCATTACTGGCATACTAATTTAAAAAACTAATTGATGTGTGAATAAATGGAGGAGTTGATGTTCATTAATGAGACAGCAATGCAATAACACAATATACCCAAAACAACCTCCTCTACCGCTCATTTGGTACAAATTTTTAGTCAGTATTGGGATTTGTCCCTCCTTATTTTACACATCACAGTGCTTCCCAAGGGCTTTGAGAAATCAACTGGACATTTGGTCCAGTAAACCGTTCTTCTTAACTGGACCAGACTAATTTTTACAGGACATTTACAGATATGACTTGCACAAAATTAAAAATTTTACTGCTCATTTGGTCCAGTAATGCATATCACGTAACTGGACAAAATCAATTTTTACTGGACTTTGCCCAATGTCCGGTGACCTTAGAAATGACTGCTTCATTCTTCATTCAACATGTGACATAGAAATAGATGTTGTTGTTTTGCTAAGTTAAAAGGATATTTAAATGTACTGTTGCTTTATTGTGAAATGCAATATTATTTATTCCTAGTCCTACTGCATGTAGCCCCACACACAAAATGTGTATTGATCAAGTGCCATTATATTGTGAGAATGAATAATAACTAAAAGTTATGCCATATAACACACTCATATTTATGTCATATTACTTCTAAATTGATAAGAATATTGTGAAGATAGTAATTTATGTTATATTCATTATTTCAGTCTGATGTAGATGAGACACTTCCGCCTCATGACATATGTCCTGTTTGTCTAAAGAGGAGAACAAATGATACAGCTTTATCTGTGTCAGGGTAGGTGTTGCTTTTGTAGATTTATATACATCCAATCTAGTATTTAAAAAAAAACTATTTTAAATTATATTTTCTAATAAAGTTATAAGCAGATTATGAACATAGAAAATTGTAATCAATATTTCAACATTGGTATAGTTCACCAGCATCAACTAGTTCTTCCTTTTCCTAGTGTTGATTGATATACTGTCAGACGGGTATCAGATCTGTATTATCTGAGTACTTTTCTAACTCATAAAAAACTGTGGTGTATTTCTAAGACATCTATAGTATAACATACATTCCTCAACAATAGACAGGTGTTTGTACAGTTTTAAAAATTTTTAAGTTCTTAGACCACATTCATTCTGTGTCAGAAACCTATGCTGTGTCAAATATTTAATCACAATCCAAATTCAGTGCTGTATCAAGCTTGAATGTTATGTCCATACTTGCCCCAACTGTTCAGGGTTCGACCTCTGCGGTCGTATCAAGCTGCACCCAGCAGAGCATTTTATTTTACATATCAGGAGAACATATTATACTATGTAATCTGATACTCTTACAGTTTTATGTATATTTAATTAAATCGTTAGTTTGTTTTTCTTTGCTTTGCAGTTTTGTATTCTGTTATCCCTGTATCTATGAGCATATCCAACAATATGGTAGCTGTCCGGTAACCAGTTATCCTGCCAGGAAGGAACATTTGATTAAACTCTATCCACCTGGGGCATAGTAGCAGAATATTCATCTCATCTGTGACAATGTTTTATATGAACTGGCCTACAACAGTGTGCTATTTATACAGATTTCTTTTCAACCAGAATGTTACTTAAAACAGTAGTACACATATCTTTATTGAGAGAAAATGTTAGAAATGTCACCTGTGAATATACATGTAAATAGCAACTAGATAAAGCCAGGCTTCTATGGTACAGTACAGTAGTAACCAGCAAAGTTCATGTATCCCAGACATTGCCTGAAATGGAGATTAGAAATCCAAATTCTCTGATAGAGAATGAAACAGGATGTTTTTTCCTTATTGTGCCAAATGTGAATTTAATCAGAAAGCAATAATTTTATGGTAACCATTTTGATTTTTTTTAATTTATTTTTTGTTGAATGTTGTAATTGTTAAAATAAATTAATCAAATTGCATGTTGTTAGTTAGATGCATGAAGTTACTTGTTTCTGTGACTAAAACTTATACATTATCCTAATTACAGTCAAACCTACATATAAACTTATACATTATCCTAATTACAGTCAAACCTACATATAAACTTATACATTATCCTAATTACAGTCAAACCTACATATAAATTTACATTATCCTAATTACAGTCAAACCTACATATAAACTTATACATTATCCTAATTACAGTCAAACCTACATATAAACTTATAAATTATCCTAATTACAGTCAAACCTACATATAAACTTATACATTATCATAATTACAGTCAAACCTACATATAAACTTATACATTACCCTAATTACAGACAAACCTACATATAAACTTATACATTATCCTAATTACAGTCAATCCTACATATAATACTTGTTTCTGTGACTAAAACTTATACATTATCCTGATTACAGTCAAACCTACATATAATACTTGTTTCTGTGACTAAAACTTATACATTATCCTGATTACAGTCAAACCTACATATAATACTTGTTTCTGTGACTAAAACTTATACATTATCCTAATTACAGTCAAACCTACATATAAACTTATACATTATCCTAATTACAGTCAAACCTACATATAAACTTATACATTACCCTAATTACAGACAAACCTACATATAAACTTATACATTATCCTAATTACAGTCAAACCTACATATAATACTTGTTTCTGTGACTAAAACTTATACATTATCCTGATTACAGTCAAACCTACATATAATACTTGTTTCTGTGACTAAAATTTATACATTATCCTAATTACAGTCAAACCTACATATAATACTTGTTTCTGTGACTAAAACTTATACATTATCCTGATTACAGTCAAACCTACATATAATACTTGTTTCTGTGACTAAAACTTATACATTATCCTAATTACAGTCAAACCTACATATAATACTTGTTTCTGTGACTAAAACTTATACATTATCCTAATAACAGTCAAACCTACATATAATACTTGTTTCTGTGACTAAAACTTATACATTATCCTAATTACAGTCAAACCTACATATAATACTTGTTTCTGTGACTAAAACTTATACATTATCCTAATTACAGACAAACCTACATATAAACTTATACATTATCCTAATTACAGACAAACCTACATATAAACTTATACATTATCCTAATTACAGTCAAACCTACATATAATACTTGTTTCTGTGACTAAAACTTATACATTATCCTGATTACAGTCAAACCTACATATAATACTTGTTTCTGTGACTAAAACTTATACATTATCCTAATTACAGTCAAACCTACATATAAAGGTATCTCTACAAGACAGTTAACCTTTAAATTAGTGTTACATGTTTATGTTAATACATAGGTATTACTACAGCAGGTTTATAAGAGAATGGTCATACAAGACATGTTTTTTGATTAAAAAATTAATGTTCCATAATGAGACATACAATAACCAGGACTGTATTCAGTTGTCACTGAGGGATGTTATATCAGGTCATGGCTCTCTGGTATCTGGTTTAAGTTTTTGGTGAAGATAGTTTAACTAAAGTTGTGGTTATTAGAGACTACCACGTATCTGACATGAACATCAATTACAAAATGTAGAATACAGTACATATTCCACAAAATTACATCAAAATTTCAAAATGACAAAGAAAATTTAAGAGATGAAAAACGAAGAGTTCATAAACTGAAAACTTGGTATACATGTTCATTGGGAACTTTTTAGATTGTATGCTTATTATGGTTTTGACCCCAATTTCACAGTACACTTAACATAGGAATATAGTGCTAGCAGGGCATGTTGACCTATGGATACAAATTCCTGTTCATCATAACCTACTGAAACCATTGATCTATATGTATAGATGACCAGACTAGAAAGCTTTTTAAACAGCTAACGGCATCAAGGCTATTGGTATCCATTTAGTCATTAACATGAGTAAGACATTTCAGCAATTATATACCCTGACTACAAAACATCCCAGACACATAAAAAATTTTGTTGATAAAATACAGTAGTTAAATAGACTGATCTGTTGTAAAAAATTAAAACAGCACTATATAAATTTCATGCGTCCAAAGCACTTTTCTGGATTTACCTTCATCATAAATGGACAATTTAAGAAAGGTTTACAAAAATGTTAAGAAAAAAGTTACTTGTGGTACTATGTCAAATCTTCTTCAATTATTATTTATTTCACAAATTTATATGACCTAGAAGGCTGTATGAGCTTTTATCATTACCGTTTTCTTTTATTAGTTCGCTGCCCACAAAACCAAAGGGACTTTAGGTTTGCACTCCATCCGTCTGTCTGTCTGTCTGTCTGTCCAGCAAATCACTTTTCCACAATTTTTAAGCTCACCTGGCCGAAAGGCTAAGTAAGCTTTTCTCATCACTTGGCGTCTGTCGTCAGTCGTCTGTTGTCTTTAATTTTTACAAAAATCTCCTCTAAAACTACTGAGCAAAATTTAAACAAACTTGACAACAACCATCATTACATTAGGGTATCTAGTTTTAAAAGTGTGTCCAATGACCCCGCCTGCCAACCAACATGGCCGATATGGCTGAAAATACAAAAAAGGGGTAAAATAGAAGTTTTGTCTATTATCTTGGTAACTGCTATGAAAAGAGAAAATCGGACAGTAGCAGAAATGTTCAGAATGTTGAGATCTACCTGCTGTCTATTTATGTCAAAACTGACAGTTGACTTCTAATAGGAGCTATTGCTCTTGAATGTCAAATTTTACCAATTTTTATAATAGATAGAAAGAATCATGAATTAGGAAAAGGGATCATTAAGACAAGATCTACAAATAAGTCAAACATGGCTGAAATCATCGGAGGACTCCTTATTGGAGTTATTCCATTTAATGACAATTTTTACCAATTTTTTTGTGTTTTTGTCTAATATCATAAAAACTGTAATAGATAGACAGAAACCTTATAGCTAAAAGTGATCAGCATTACAAGACCTACAAATACAACAGGACTGAAATTGTCAGTTAACTCTTTATAGAGTTGTTGCCCTTTCATGATGATTTTTACAAAAAGGTGGCCATTGTCGAAGATGCTGGTGAGCGACACATGATCTTTAGAGCCTCTAGTTTCTTCTTGTTTGAAGATGTTGATTCGATATTGTATATAGTTTTATCATGACCAGTTACAAATCAAGTTTGAATTTTGTTTCAGTTTGATCATTTTGTGCAGAGTTATGGTCCTTACAGACTTAGAAAATTCATGCAAGTCATCAGTTTTCAGATTTTTTCCCGTCATGCTTGAAGATATTGATTTGATATTTGTTATTTAGTTTAAACATGACAACTTACAGATCAAGTTTGAATTTTGTTAGGTTCAGTTGATTTTTTTGCAGAGTTATGGTCCTCTGACTTCGAAAATTTATGCAAATAATCAGTTTTCCACACTTTTGTTCGTCATGCTTGAAGATGTTGATGTGATATTTGTTGTATAGTTTAACCATGACAAGTTATTGATCAAGTTAAAATTTTGTTTCGTTCAGATAATTTTTCTGTTGATCTGTCTATTAATCTTGTTGATACAACTCCTTTAGTGAAACTAAATATTTGCATCAGGAGATATGTAACTCATTTTTTTTTAATATAGAAAATATTTCAAATTACAGATTAAGTTAGCATTTTGTTCCAGTACAATTAATTTTTAACCGGTAGGGGACAATGTATTGCCATGCAATACACTCAGAATGCTTGTTTTACTACACTTTTAAAATGAATGCTATATTGCCTTCAAGATTATCGATGGTTTTTAAAAATGAGAAACATGTTAAGAGTTTAAAAGACCATCAATAATCTGTGTATCACTATTCTACCTTATACATTTTCATTCTTCTCAACTAAGAAAATCCTGGATGACTTGAGTAGCATGAAATGGAAAATTATCATACACAAAGAAAATAAAGAAAAGTTAAGAAAATAGCAATAATACTGTTTACATGGTAATTTGATTTATTATTTTTACTGATTATCGGAAGTGGATTTTACAATGTCACATTCTATTTTATAAAGTTTATTTTTTAGTGTGAAAAGTTCAAAGCAACTTATAAAAAGTTGATCTTCATCACTAATTTGCATGCCATACATTATAGTGAACACGCCCCAATTTGTGGTATCAAAAAATGATATGATCTGACCTTCTTTATCTAATATATGTAATATTGAGGAGTCAGCAACTATAAAATTGTCACAGCTTGTAACAACTAGACCAAGTGGGTCAAAATAACCTTGCTTGTTTAACTCATTATGGCCTGTATAAATATTAAGAACCCTACCACCCTCATCTAGCACAACAACACGGCCCTTTTCACGCCCTAGCTCCATATCAACAACGCCAACATTATTTTCACTAGTAGTAACTATAATGTCAGGCAATGTAAATAATTGTTTTTTATTATTGTCATATTCATATTCCATTTCATATTTTCCTTTTGAATCCATTACTATAATTTTCCGCGGTCTTTCATAAGATCGATCAATATCTTCTGCACCTGTAATCATGACTTTGTTGTTTTTAGTGACATGTATGGTTTTGGTAATGAGAGGGGAAATGTCATAGCAACTTTCTTTGATTTCTATCACTTCTTTAGGTAATTCAAGCAGTTTAGAGAGTTGACAAGACAAAAGGAGACTCCCAGAAGGCGTTACAGCCATTGCATAATAACTCATTTTTATAGATGGTAATTTAATAATTTTATCTTCTAACAGCAGAACTTTTGTTAGCGTATCTGCTTCTGTATCATTAATCCACAATGAGTCATCATTACAGCTCACAAAATTAATAAATGGAGAGTCAGTTTCCCACTGAAAAGGAATGTTAAAATCGGCCTTGGTTTCAAATGTCAGAGAAACAGAAACATCCATCAAAAATCCATAAAGCAAAGAATTAGAAAAACTTTCCAAGGGACATAGTTTTGGTACCGTAACTACTGTTTTTGGCTTTTCTAGATTTTCTAGTATTTGGTTGAGTCCACTTTCTTTTACATTAAACACCTTATTGAGGTTATTGAATTTTAACAAAGCATTTGTCCCATCCAACTCCTGCTTGAGAAAAGTTACACCACTTTGAGTTATCTTCTTTTCTTCCTCGAATGTTTGAGTATATTTGTTCTTCTTTGTTTCTAGTTTCTCTAGAAGCTTTTTTGTGTTCTCACTTATTTTTTCTTTTAATTCTTTATCTCTATCTAATATTTCTTCTTTCACTTTGTCGTAGATTGAAGGGTTAAATGTGTCCAGCCTTTTCTCATGAGCAATTAATTCACACATTTTCTGATTTATATTATTTTCTTTTGTTTTGAGAATTTTAATTTTTTCATGAAAAGCTTCAGATATTCCTGTCATGTCATGGTTCTTATGAAATCGAGATATACAACTTTGACAAACAAGTTCATCACATATGACACAAAATGAACAACATTGTCCTAAATGTTTGACACATGTGATCTTAGTCATGTCTGTGTTTTGTTCCTGATCTGTTTGATGCTTTAAAAAGTCTTTAATGTCTATTAATGTATGCTCCTTGGTAAATTTTGGATGAACCTTTTCTTGGCAATTTTGACACATTTTCATATTACACTCAATGCATTTCCACTTAATTACAAGCTCCAGTTCACAAAGTTCACAATTCTTCAGATTTTCCATTGCTAAAACCTAGAATGCTTCAAAACAAAAACTTCCACTTACAACATGACTAACTTACAGAAAGAGCATCAATACTTATGAAGTAACTTAGTACTTGGAGGTGATTGATATGATATATTATCTTTGATATGGTCAAAGTTTATGTAACTATCAGTGTTGTTTGCTAACAAACAATAGAAGATAGTTCATTGATAATTATTAATCAATTTTATTAGCAGTCGTAGTGCATGCTGTATAAATATATATTGTATAAACACCTGTCTGTTGTTGAAAACTGCATGTTGACCTCTTGATGTAGTTTGGGTTTTTTGTGAAGTTAGGTTGCTGTCTCAAAGATATTTACATCACACCCCCTTTTATATTTATACTTATAAGGAAAATATCTAAAATAAAGTATTCATAAGAATAAATAATAATGCTAAACTTGAACTGCATCTTACTTATTTTTTTATTTATTTTTTTTTGGGGGGGGGGGGGGGGGGGTCGCTGTCTCATTGTCTATCTTACAAAGTGAACTTATTTATGTATACAAGGAATAATAGAATTAAAAAAAAAGATCAAACCACAGTCTATTACAAAATTCTGGAAAGAGATTGTCTTTACATGGGAGATAAGGACCCAGGGTATGAGTACAAACTCCACATTATAACCTTACATGGTCAAAATATTAATGGCATTGAGACCAAATGTTGAAATGGAATGAAGTCATATGTTGATATACAGAAATTTGTATATTCTAACTCCTAGCAATGAGAATCAGTCGTAATTTTGTTGAGCAGATACCTTTATTATATGCATTTAATTTCTCTCTTCTTTAAATAATTCGTGAAATTTTAAAAACTTTTCTTGACTTCCAATTTATCCAATATCAGACATTTTGAATATAACAACAAAATCACAATTTTTTAGTTATGGAGTTGTTTCCCTTTATGTACAAGTTCTAGATTATTTATAAAATTTCATTTATCTTTAACATTCATTTGATTCTTTTCTTGGGTAGAATGCTGTCATGGGAAGTCTTTTACACATAATTAATACACATTGAATAAGTATTTTTAATTTAGAAATATTTAGTTTGACATGTAATTGAATTTGTTATTAAAAATTTAGTTTAAGTGTATAAGTCATTAAGATTAATAATTTATTTCATTACCTTTCAAATTTAATTGATTTTTGCTGTGGTAATTTCCGTTTTACATGCAACTAATCAATAAAGCAGGTAAATTTTTTTTGCATAAAATAGTGACCTCTTTTGAACAGTTTACAGAAATGATTTGACTTAATAATAGCTTAGATTTTTCAAAGTTTCCTGCATTTTAAGATCAAAGAAAACTTAATTATAATCTGGTTATATTTATAATATCTTGACACAAACCAGGAGGTCTTGCTTTTTAATAAACAGTTAATTATGAAATATTGGTTGAATTTTCAGAGCATAAGAAATTAAAAAAAACTGTCCTTTTATACGACCACATGATTTATTAATTATTTCATGTGGAGTTTTTATCAACCATATGTTGCAAGCTACTTAATATTTCCAAGTTTCATTTGAAATTTGAAGAATATCACTATTCATTGGAGCTGATGAGGCAGCAAATCTTAATTGAAAAAAACGGTTTCATTAGGGATAAGTAATGACAGTTTTTGTTCTGTTCAAAATTAAAGAAAAGATGATATTGTATCCTAAATTGTCACAGGCTACCAGAAATTATGAATAAAAGGAGATGTGATGTTAACATCAATGAGTTTGAAACCCAACAATATAAATAACAAAAAGACATCTGGAAGGCAACATTTAGTCTTCAACAATCGAGAGGCTTCTTTAACTATGTCAGGCTCAAGTCTAAAAAGGTCATATTAAAAAAAAAGTTTCAAAAATCTACCATCAGCAGCAAATTTTTTAGATAACAAAAAATATTAAGAAATGTCATAAGACAACTATTGACCACTCCCATAACTTTATTAAAATAAAATGTGACTACAGTAGTTGTATCATTCTCTGTTTTTTATACGACCGCAAATATTTTATTATTTTTAGGCTTTTATGGTTAAAAAAAAACATTTTTCTAGTTTCCAGACAGTAACTTGTGATAAAGTGTATGGATCTCTCTAAAATTGTACTACAAGGTTCCATACTACAAAGGAAAGACTGCAATTGAGTTTGATGGTTAATTCTAAAAAGGGGATTCAAAAATTGGGGGGGGGGGGGGGGAAGGGGGGATTTCCAATTTTTTTTAAAAGGGTTCATATTTTTTTTTCAAAATTTTCCAAATTTCAAATTTTTGAAAAGTTTCAAGAAGAAATCTTCAATTGCACAGTATTTGTAAGATCTTTGACCACATTTATTTTGTGTCAGAAACCTATATTATGTCAAAAATCACAATCCAAATTCAGATAGTATCAAGCTTGAATATTGTGTCCAAATTTGCCCCAACTGTTCAGGATTTGACCACTGCGGTCGTATCAGGCTGCGCTCAGCGAAGCATTTTATTTTGTCATGTCTGTGTATTAAATATTGCTGGATTGAGTTTGAGTGGGGAAACCGTGCATTATGGACACATTCTTGTTTAACTTCTAAAAAGATGTTTTGTCTGTGGACATAATGAAGTCACTGTAACCTATATTGTATGCATGGTTGATGGCAGTTATTATATATGTTTTAAGATTCATGTTCTGGTTACTGTGACATAAATTAGATATAAGAATGACCTATAACTGCAACTGTTTCATTTCTCTATTATAGCCCCTGCTTCTAAATTTGGGGTTGGATGTAAGGAATGATTTGCATGTGTGTCATTCGCTCCCTTATATCTTGTGTCTGTCAAAAAACTTTGAAGTGCATGATTGAATCCCAATAATATTTGCAACAATTATTGGTGATAACTGAAGGATGCCATATTATCCTGACCCAAAGTCATATCTTGATGGTTACGATCAGCTGATGCATATATGGAAAAGATATTCAAGTCATACATTTTATTGTAGACTTTGAAATCAATACTAATGAATGACACATATAGCATGTTACAACAACTTGCATCCAAGATCATATCTGGTTACCTTGAAAATTGTTGATACTACACTAGTCCATTGAACAAAACCTAAAGGTTCACTACTTCTATAGACCGGGGTTCTGACAATTTTGTACAAAGATCTAGATAAGTTTAACATCCTGTATGTATCGGTAGTTTCCTACTAGTAGCATGTTAAAGTTTCTTATTTCTCTGGAAATTGCTTTTATTTTGAATTTATGTAATATATAACTTCTTAATAGCCCAATTCACACTTAATTTATAATCCTTCCTTCCAGATTTCAGAAGTAGGACTGTTTATATACTTCTTAGCATCTTATAAAGTCATATTTAACTATTTATATCTGTCAACTTTATCAGTATAGAGGATGAACACAAAATTTACTGACTTATTTATAAGGCATATCTTATCTGTTATGAGTCAATATGAAACCAAATTGGGTTGTAAAAGTTTGATTGTGTTGACTTTTTAAACTTTTCATTTCGTTAGTGGGGGTAGAAAGTTAAAATGTTAGTTTTTGATCTCAAGCAATATTGAAGTGATTTTTTATGGTGCAATTTCATTGAATGTTTGTCACTTTTCCACATATTCCTTCTCATAAAATGTATTGCATTTATTAAGTTGAGGAATAAGTCATGGTCATAGCAGATGAGAGGCATTTCATTACACATTTTAATCAAGACATAAACTTTGGGTTGGAAAAAATTACAAAATTATAGTTTAATTTCTGAGTAACAATTCGTTACAGTGGAAGATTTATAAAAGTGATTGACAAGTAAAAATTACTGGCAGCTGAAATGGAAATTCCAGAAAAATATGATTAATTTAAGAAAATGAATACCTTTTAATATTCAACTATATCATGCATTTTATGGAGAGGGGTAAATAATTTAGTCTGTCTGCTGTTTGTTCACTATTTTTGCTTAGATTATGCAAAATTGAGTGATACGTTCACTTTAAGACTTCTTGAATATTACCTGATGATAGCAGTCAGAAAATTGCATTTCAAACAAGTGTTATTCAAAAGTAATTTACAGTACTGTCCACTGGCTATCATGGTTACGTGAAGAAACATTTTCTAAAAATTAAACAGGGAAATTAAAGAAACTTTCTGCTTGATTAAATTCCACATATTTAACCTCAATAAACAAACTTATTTACTTTTATCACATTGAGAACAAGATAAATTCAACTTCCAAATCCCCGTTCACACAAAGATGTAAGAAATGAATTGAATGGCTAATCCTTTCTCCCTATTGTGACGGAAATAACTGGGAGATAAGTGTCCAGATACTATGGAGTGCCTCTCTGTTAGTTCATCATAAATAAAAACACCAATAAATGGACAGTGTTATGTAAATATAATTAACCATCGAGTGACTTTTACCGTGTTTGTCTAATACCTTTATTAACAGTTTGTATCCTTAACTATGTAAAATAACAAGTTTGAATTAGACATGTATTAACAATATATTACCAGAGTTACTAAGTAAAGGATTAGTGTTTGAGTAACATTTTCACCAATTACATTTCACAATTTTGTGTGCTGAAAAGCTGTTGTTTACAGTTTTAATAGTAAATTGGTTAAAATG